ATTTATATAACATATAATATGATGAAATCATCTCTATTTAATTCAGGAGTCCAAAACTTACAAAATCTTCAGATCTCAAATATAGGCACAGAATGCCAAATATTTGTTGAATATGCACATACCCAGAGAATATTTGGAGAATATTCACCATTAAGATTCACTCAGGAGAATTTTGAGGAAAGCATGTGGATCAAATTGACTCCATTTGTAAAAGCATGAGTTGGCAGTGCATTGCGCATGGGATAGAATTGTGTACTCATTAAAAACTTGGATTGCTTTGGAAATGTGATTGGTTGATGGATGCACCATATATCTGAATATTCCACATGGCAGAAGCTTCCAGCATACCCCCCCTGCTCTCGTAAACTAAAACCAAACGATCAGATTAAGCATAATCACTGTATACAGCAAATTAGCAATTTTAGGGTAAATTCTCCACATTGACCTACATTGCTGAGCTCTTAATCACAGGATCAGAACCCAGTCAGTGCATGTAAATAAGCAGCCTCCATTAAAATAATTGGTAACTGTATATACGTAATAGGCATCTGTGATTGTGTGCGCATAATATATTGGTTTTATTCCAATGAAATTTGCAGTGCAACAGCACGGTGGGGGGGGGGAGGTTGGGATTTCATAAGTCAAATGGAATTTTCCACAGGAAACAGGGTTGGGGGGAGAGAAAGGGTGGTATTATTTGTTACTTGCATTTATATCCCACCATTTTCTCCAAGGATTTCAAGGTGGTGTATGTGGTTCTACCCCTCCTCATTTAATCACTCACAACAACCCTGTGGAGTAGGTTAGGCTGAGAGGCAGCAAGTGGCTGAACTTCACACACAGTGAGCTTCTTCATGACTGAGTGGGGAGATTTGAACCCTGGTCTTCCAGGTGTACGTTCAACACTCTAGCCACTACACTGTGCTGGCCCCAAAGCTAGTCTTACTCAGAGCAGACCACATTAAAGTCCCCAAGCCAGTTATTGTGCATGGTTATTTGTTTCCCTGACCACACCCTAGATACTGAAGAATTTCAGCTGGTGGTTCTGGATGGAGATGCTCATCCCCACGGACATCAAAAGAAATTTTTGCCCAGTTCAATGGAATATGGAGCATCATCATTATGTAAATAGGGATACACACCCAGAAATCTTTTCCCTCCCACGGATCTCTCTTGCTGGATCAGTGCATTTGTTCCTTTGCTCATCCCCTTCTTCAACCTCTCCCCCCCTGTTGTCCTTGTTCCCCCCTCATCTCTTTCCTCAGAGCATTGTGGAAAATCTCATCTTGAAGACCAGACTATGGACCCTCTGAAAGGACACATATCTAAACCCAAAACAAAGGGAATCAGACTGCCACTATGAGGATGCAATGGGCAGACATTGGCTTTTCATTATTTGGTAATGTTCGTAATGATTATTAATTCATCTTCCATCATGCTGAAGGGATGCCGAAGTCGAGGCATATTGGCCAATGCTTGCTAGTCACATCTCTAGAATCTAATTGCACCATATTTGCAATCAATACCAATCAGCCAGCTAAATGAATCAACACGGAGTCTGCTTGAGAGAGGCTGTATCTCTCTCCTAGAAGGCAGAGTTACTCGAGATTTCCCCCAACTTCTCAGATACTTGGTTGCCTGCCTTATATACCCTTGGAGCCCTTACTTCAGACTCTATTTCTTGCTTCTTTATCTTTCCTTTGCACATTCTAACTTGTTTACTGATTTACTAAGCATTTTTAAATTAGCTCCCACCCAAAGGACCACTGGAAGTGCCCTGAAGTATTTGCTTTCAATCAGACAGCCCTGGGTTTCATTTGTTTTCTTGACATTATCTGTACCTAGTGAGGAGGCAGCAATACACCCTTAGCACCCCTAGTGAATGCACATTTAAATCGCAAAGAGAAGAGGAATGAAAGAAACCGAACCTAAGGGAGCCTGAGAAACATTTCTGTATAAAATGGGTTGCTTCATCTCTATGAATATGGACTAGACTTCTACTGTTTTGGAGAAAGGGGGATATGATTTGTGGTCAGAAAGGAGCCTTCCCTGATGAACTTCCAGGGCCCATGGAAGACCTTCTGAATTGCACCAGACATTTTAACTGAAGTTTGATTTAATAGTTTTAACTGGTTATTATTATTTTTATTGTATCTCTGTAAACTGCTTGAAGACTGCTGTAGTTATGAGGTGGTTGTTGTTTAGTTGTTTAGTCATGTCCGACTCTTTGTGACCCCATGGACCAGAGCACGCCAGGCACTCCTGTCTTCCACTGCCCTCCGCTGTTGTTGTTGTTGTGGTTGTTGTCATCATCACCCAATAAACCTTATAATGTGAGGAAATCTAGAATCCCATCCAGTGAAGGAATCTGCTCAGGTATATAGATTCATTGCTTGTTTTCATTCATAGACAAAATAAAATCCATCTTCTTGCTTCTACAAGAAGTAGTGATGGCAACCAGCTTGGATGGCTATAAATGAGGATTAGACAAATGGAGGATAAAGTTAGTACCAATGGCTACTAACCCTGATGGCTATGCTCCGCTTCCCCTGCTGGAGGCAGTAAATGTGTTTGAATACCAGTTGCTGGGAATCAAAAGTGGGTAGAGTGCTGTCGTGCTCAGGTCCTGCCTGCAGGCTTCCCAGACACATCTGGTTGGCCACTGGGAGAGCAGGGTGTACTGGTAAGCCCATAGTCCATCGGTTCCAAGTTTCTGTACACAGCAGCAGTCAGCTAGATGTCTCTAGAACCTGAGAAGTAGGGTGCCAATAGCATCTTAAATATATGGCTTCCCCTTCCCCTTCTTTTTCTATTCTGAGCTACAACTGGGACCTTGACAAAATCTTGCAGTTCACAGAACTCCTATTCAGGCACCCAAATAAGTAAGACATGCTCTTGCCTGAGAGCCAGTGTGGTGTAGTGGTTAAGCGTGGTAGACTCATAATCTGGTGAACCGGGTTCGATTCCCTGCTCCTCCACATGCAGCTGCTGGGTGACGGTGACCTTGGGCCAGTCACACTTCTCTGAAGTCTCTCAGCCCCACTCACCTCACAAAGTGTTTGTTGTGGGGGAGGAAGGGAAAGGAGAATGTTAGCCGCTCTGAGACTCCTTCAGGTAGTGATAAAGCGGGATATCAAATCCAAACTCATCTTCACCAGAGAGACTAGGCTGAATGTAGTGATGGAGAAGTTTGAGTCATTTTGCTTCTAAAGGTGAACTTGCCCAATTCACACTTTTCAAGACAAGATGCAAGGTCACCAGTAATTCAGTTGCCCCTCTGAAAATAACTGTCTATTTTCTGCTACCAAATGCAATATTAAAAATTGAGTGGATTGTCAAAACAGAGTCTCTCAGGTAAGGATGGATAGATTTCTCAATTTCCAATTTTCTCGTTCTTCAGTTCCCACATTTCCTCACCAGTTCATGATTTTATTTTGTTTAAAGTCCTCATGAGCATTTTAATCTGCTTTTCTCCTAATACACACATTTTGCATGTAATTTTTGACAATATACACATATTTTTGCTGAGCAATTTCCCCCATATAATGCATTTTTTGTATATTGTTTTCACTCATATATACCTTTTAATGTAAGCTTTACCTTAAATACACACATTTTTTGCATGCATTTTTTTTGTTTTGTTTCGAGAGCTGCATTGCAAAATTCAGAGAAGTGTAAAATTTGAACAATAGATGTGCTTAATTTGCATACTGTTTCTGGGGACGCGGGTGGCGCTGTGGGTTAAACCACAGAGCCTAGGACTTGCCAATCAGAAGGTCAGCAGTTCGAATCCCCACGACGGGGTGAGCTCTTGTTGCTCGGTCCCTGCTCTTGCCAATCTAGCAGTTCGAAAGCACATCAAAGTGCAAGTAGATAAATAGGTACCGCTTTGGCGGGAAGGTAAACGGTGTTTCCGTGCACTGCTCTGGTTCACCAGAAGTGGCATAGTCATGCTGGTCACATGACCTTGAAACTGTACGCCGTCTCCCTCGGCCAATAAAGCGAGATGAGCGCCGCAACCCCAGAGTCAGTCACGACTGGACCAAATGGTCAGGGGTCCCTTTACCTTTACCTCTGGAATTGGGAATGAGATAAATTACCATAGGAATGAGAAGTGAGCTGGATTTCTCCGTGAGGAAGGCAGGGGGACAGACTGTGTAAGCCCCCTTATGCTCCTCGGAGGAAGGATTAATTTACATGGATGCCAGCTTTCACTAGTTTTAAACCAGCTTAATTCCATGACTTCCCCAACTAAGCTGGAGATTGTAGGTTGGCCTGGAAAAGGTGTTGTGAATTTTCTGTTCGAGATCCTTTAATTCCCAGGGAACCAGAATGACCACTAAATAATTATTCTCTGTGTTGATACACTAAAAAGAATAGGAGGCTATCAAGCAGGCCTCCTTTAGAAAAGGCTTCTTCAGAATTCAAATCTACACAGTCAAGGAAGTCAGATCTGACAGCGATAGGCTGTCCGGATTTATAAAAGAAAACTGATACTGATAACTCGCAGTCTAAAACTGACACCAATTATAAGTGATCCTTACCCATCAGCCGATCCCCTCTAGAAAACACACAAGAGAGACTCAGAGCTCCTCATCTCGCCTATTTTCTTTTTCACCCAACCTTCTTTTTCTAAAGGAACAGGGAGTATTAATAAGTTGAGTTCAACAGTCGAAATGATGGCTCTGAGCAGTCAGCTTGTGCATTCTCTTAAAAAACACTCAGGTTGATGCTTTGCTTTTAGGAGATGCTACACACCTGCCTGGAATAACTGTTTCCTTTTCCCAGCCTTCAAGGACTGCTTGGAGTTAGCATCACACTTAGTCTTTGGGATTGGGAGGTGGGGACACCAGTGTGACCAGTGGCTGGACACATGGGAACACAGAAAGCATAGAAAGCAGCATTATACTGAGTCAGACCATTGATCCATCTAGCTCAGTACTGTTGATACTGACTGGCAGCAGCTCTCCAGGGTTTCAAGGATCTCCTCCTGTCCTACCTGGAGATGCTGGGGATTGAACCCAGGACCTTCTGGATGCAAAGCAGATGCTCTACCATGAGTCCTTCCTCAAACTCACTCTTTATGAAACTCACTCCCCTTTTATGGAGATCACCCGCTCTGAGACCCCACAGCTAATTCTCCCCTGGCCTCCTCACTGGCCCAAGTAGGACCAATTCAGCCAGCTAGCCCTGGGGGTTATCTAAAGCTTATTTCCCCTAAATTGATTTTTAAAATTTTATTGTTATTCATGTTTTTATACTGTATTTTGTGCTGCTTTTATAATTAAGTGTTTTAAATTGGTTGTTAGCTGCCCCGAGCCCGGTTTTTGAACCAGGAAGGGCGGGGTATAAATAATAAATTATTATTATTATTATTATTATTATTATTACTTCTGGCCAATGGGAAAAGGAGGTGGGTAGATAGTTGAGGCCCTAAGAAGATGAAGGAATATTTCATGGATGTGCATCTTGGAGCATTGGGACCTGGGAACCAAAGAGTGGAACTCCTCCGAATCTCTTAGTAACACATACTCAGAGGTTTTGTGTTGACGGGGCTGGGTCTCAATGACGAGGAGAGAGAGAAGCAGAGAAGGAGCAGCTTCTCATATTGTGGGTTAGGGCTAAGTTTGGTTATAACCAGCGGTGTCGTGGTCAGGGGCTGCAGGGGGTCAAAGATTCATTACTATTTCTGTAGCAGAGTCCTAACAGGGTCTCTGTCTCCAGCATTCTAGACTCCCCAGTCAGCATGAAGGGAAGCTTTCTGGCCACTGAGAAAGTCTTCTTACCCTTTGTGCTGATTGGAGCCAATCAAAGTGAAAGGAGCTGAGTCAGCCACTGAGGATTGACTCCTAGGATCACTCTGGAGAAGGTGTGCCAGAAAAACACTAAGGAGGAGTTGTAGTGTATGCTCCAAAGCTAAATGTTTAGGGACACTGAAAACACAAAGGTGCTTCAGTTTCAAGAGAAGGGTGTGCAATTTCTGTTATGTGTGATGGAACATCAAGGAAAACACAACTTAAGTCACTACCAAAAAGGACATTGGAGCACCCCAAATCATTGGCAGTGCAGAAGATAGATCTAGCTGAAAGGCAACTCATAGGGATCTGCAGTGATTATTGCAACACATCCCTAATTATTATTGTTGGATAATCATAAGATAATTGTATAATCTTAGGAGGCTGTGTAATCTTAGAAGGGTGTGTGACTGTCATGAAGGACCCCTGCATTTCTGAATTTGCCACTACGCTACTGGTTATAACAGGAAGGGGGAGGAAGACTAATGTTCTCTTCTATCGCTAGCCAAGCTGCCTTTAAAAACAAAAAAATGGCTAGTTGACTTATCTCTTACTGCTCCTTGAACTGGATACAAACTGCTTTCACCTTCACCTCTGCTACCTCACTCTGCTTCAGTCTTGACAAGAGCAGGGTCTGACAGCTTGTATATAGCTCCAGGGCTTACCAAATCGAGAAAATATCTCAGGGAAGGGAGCCAAATCCAACTTCCAAAGCTTAAATCTCTCTGGTTCTTTTTCTTTGACTATTAAAAAAAAAGGGGGGGAGGGGACACCTAAAACACACACAATTGCCATGCATCAAAATTTCTGCTGCTAAGAGCCTGGCAAAATTTTTCATCGTGACAGCATATTTGGGGAACGTGGCTGCAGCAGGCGATGGAGTCACACTGAAAAATGTTTCCTTATATTTCCTCCCCTTGGCCTCCTTCACCCCCACTGCATTGTGCCCCTGGTTTTAGACTTCAAAGAATTTGTGATGAAACAAACAAACAGCTTTCCCTTCATTTGCCTTCCAGTTCTTTTGAGGCATGAAGCTCCGTCACATTTCAAATATCCTCGGCTGGAATTTTGCATGAATTCTTAAGGCCTACCCTAACATTCAAGAATGCTTGTACAGTGGTACCTCGGGTTAAGTACTTAATTCGTTCCGGAGGTCCGTACTTAACCTGAAACTGTTCTTAACCTGAAGCACCACTTTAGCTAATGGGGCCTCCTGCTGCCGCCGCACCGCCGGAGCATGATTTCTGAAGCAAATTTCTCATCCTGAAGCAAAGTTCTTAACCTGAAGCACTATTTCTGGGTTAGCGGAGTCTGTAACCTGAAGCATATGTAACCTGAAGTGTATGTAACCCGAGGTACCACTGTAATTTCTTGCTACTGGGTCTTAACAGTGAAAGACAGATTTGGGGGCTTTTTCAATCATTTTTTACGTATCCACACTCATGAGGGCCTTTGGGCTGAGATGGGACCATAGGTTACATGGACAAATTGAGGGCAACTCCTAAGGGCTGTATAAGTATATACAACAGTGAAAGCGGTTCCCTTTGTGGGGTGAAGTTGCTATGCGAGCTTCCTGGCAGGTGGAGAGCTGTTGTTCACTAAAAGTGATGGGGAGCATCTTATTTCCCTCACCTGTATGCTAGCTCTGCCTTGACTTCCATGCCACTTCATCCCTCTCCTTACCACTCGAGAACAGCACCTCCATCTGGTGGAAAGCTAGCATAGCAGCTCTGCCTCAACCAGGGAGCCGCTTCTGTATGACAGGTAGACAGAACGACCCGGCAGGGTCTCTGAGGTTGAGGGAGCACATATTCTCTAACTGTTCCCATTTACCTCCCCATTGCAGGAGATGGCAATTAGATCAGTGGGGTCTGCAACCAATTGGTACAGTGTGGAGTGTGTGTGTGTGTTGTGGAATCCCAGTTCCTTCCATGTATTGGACATTACACTCCCATCAGTCCCCACCAGCCTTGCCAGAGATGGTGACAGCTGGAGTTCCGCTGTATCTGGAGGGCTACAGGTTGCCAACGCCTGCTATGGGAGAAAGTAAAGAGGGTCACTTAGGTCAGTGGAGGCTGCTCCATTAGGGCATGGGAGGGGGCACTGCCCCACCAATCTCAGTCTTCTCTCATCTTTGGCCTACTGCTTTCTTAGAACCAATCCAGGTTAGGAAGCACTGCCTATTGGTGTCCTTCACTCAGTAGTGCCCTTGTAGAACTCTGCAGGGAGGAAGATGCAGACAAAACCAGAATGAGTTGACTCTGCTTGTCATTGGTTCTGATTCCACTACTGGTCTCCCTCCCTGCTGCTCTACCAGCCCAAATGGGCACCACCCACCAGTGACTTTGTTAAACCCTTAGTGCAGGACTTCCTACTTCTGATTGCCCTGGTTGATGACCAGTGACCCCTGCCATCAAGCATGTGCATTATTTCCCCAGCCCCATCCTTCATTTGCACAGCCCCACCCTGCGTTTGTGTGTTTCAGCATTCACAGCCTCCCTTTGCTGAGCCTAAAGCATCATCAACAAGGTGCTGAACACCTTGAAAACCAAGTAGCAGTTAGAGCATTGGAGTGGAGTGATGAGCAGGGCCAGAGACAAAAGAGAGAGGAGCAATGGACGTCACTCTTTCCTTTGCATAGTAGGTTACATTCCAGCTATACAAAATAATACATACATACATACATACATACACACACACACTTCTCTCTATCTAGGCAAGCAAGAGGCATTATTACAGTCCAAGGACACATTACACCCAGGCAAAGGCACTCAACGAAAGGGCATAGCCAGGCCAGTGATGGGTGTGGCCTAGGGAGAGGGGTGTGGCCTAGAGAGAATTCCAAGGGCCAGTGTTGAGAAGGCCCTGCTCAAATAAACTGATCACCTTTCTTCAAATGGCAGGAGGACCTAGAGCCAGTCAAGTAAGCTCTGGGTGTGACAGAGTACCAAATCATAGAATCATAGAATCATAGAGTTGGAAGAGACCACAAGGGCCATTGAGTCCAACCCCCTGCCAAGCATATTGCCCACCTTCACAGGCATCTGGGGTTCTTCCATCCATGACCTTTGACTTTCGATCTTTCCTCCCTGGAGATCCTGTCTATGGCATTAGGAAGCCTTCCTTGAAAGATGCCTCTTTTTGTTGCCATCAGAATCAAACATTTCAATCCTGATCAGCCACAGAGACACAGTATGGGGCAGGTGCAAGTGTCAAAAGTCCACTCCTTTTCATTCACTATTCGTGACCAGTCCATGGAGCATTTAGGATAGATGTGTGTGCTTGTGTGTTCTAGAAGTATTGATGTTTCTTCCTTCTGTGGTTCAGAACCAGGGTGCATTCCACACTTCTGTTTATGAATTTTCTTCTCCTCCCCAAAAAGATGAGAAATGATACATTTTAATAGAAATTGCCGACAGAATCCCCACAAGGCTGCGCAGATGGCTTTCAGAATTAAAAAAACACACAAACAAACAATTGGATCCATTCATCCATATTTCACAGCAATAAGCTGGAGATGGAAAGTATACTGCAAGATGAGAAAAGTGTGTGTGTGTGTGTGTGTGTGTGTGTGTGTGTTTAGGGGAAAGCGCCATATTCAGCAAATACCCAAACGGAATCCAGGTCAACGCCTTACTTAAAATCCAGGGTGTAATATTCTTGAACATGGCTAGCCAAATCGGGATGACAGATGTAGAGCCTGATACTATGCAAAGCTGCAGTGAGCATGACATAGGATCAAGCTCAAGGGTCCCAGCACCAGCAGAAGTGAAAGCTTTATCCTTGTGGTCCATTTACAGCTGTGTCTCTACCATGCTGGAGGAAAGAAAGGCATTAATGCTGACCCATCGACAATCCAAGGAAGGCAGTGGAGGCTGGTGTGCTAGGGCAAATTGGTTTAGCAGAGGGCAAACAAACTTGGAAGCTGAATATACTCAGGCCCATCACTGCCTAGTCTGTCTTATTCACACATCACTAAATAAAAATGCACAGGTCCCATTGGTAAAGAATAATAATAAAAAAATACTTACAGTTTCTTCATATGTACAATAGCTTCAGATTATAAGCCTACATGGCAGGAGCTAGTTTCATGGTCACCTTTTGCAGGAGAGAGAGAGATAACAAGAGGAAGGAGTGATCTGGAGGGTTTAGTGGGAAACCGCAAAGTGTATTTTTGCCAGACTATCTGTTAGTGTTAACCCTGTCTTCTACTGACTGGAAGCATGTAGCTAGTCAATTGCAGCCTGCAATGCAGGCTGCAATTGAATATAAACATGAACATCCA